AAGAACTCTATAGGGTAAGGCAGGTCCTAGTCAACAACGGTTTCTCCAATGGTTTCATTGAAGACATCATAAGAAGGAAGGTGAAACGACATGCAACCTCTGAAGAGACAACTAGCACAAAACCTTTACCCTCTATTAGACTATTTTACAGGAACTTCTTTTCCACAGCTCATAAAACGGAGGAAAGGGTCTTGAGAGATATTGTCGATAGGAACGTTATCCCTACTGACAAAAATCAGAAGATACAACTGACGATTTACTATAAAACCAGAAAAACGGCCAGCCTACTCATGAGAAACTCTCCAGACACAAAGCAGAACGCTTTAAAAGAGACCAACGTCGTCTATGCCTTCAAATGCCCACTTGGGGACTGTAAGCCTCAAAGAACTCAGTATATAGGCAAGACAACAACATCTCTTTCCAGGCGATTAACGATGCATAAGCAACAGGGCTCCATTAAGGAACATATAATCTCTTCCCACAACCAGACCATCACCAGAGAAGTCTTAACAAACAACACAGAAATCATCGATAGATACAGCGATAGCAGGCGGCTTGACATCTGCGAAGCACTACACATCAAGAAGTCAACACCAGCAATCAACTGCCAATTAATGCACAGCTACATTCTACCCACTTCAAGACTCCGCACCAATATAGAAGCATCAAGAAATATGGGCCAATAGGCCCTTTGCAGTTACTTCCATCCTTCCCTTTAATTTACCCAATTTATACTCATTGTTTCGTGTTCTATCTTGTGTTGAACCCAAATGCGGGTATATAAGATGAAAGCTGTTTAAATGATAGCATAGAACTCTGTTTAGTGTTTACAGCTTATAGTTGTGTGTGTGTTAACTAAAGTCTTTGAAAATGTAAGAAGTTATTACGAAACGCATTCAAGTGTCGCGTCAGACTAGAAATAAAAATGAATTTTGCAGAATTGATTTTCAATTACCATCGACAGTGAAGAGAAACATAAAAAATATTGAGAAAATTCGTGTTGGAATTATTAATTAAGCTTACCTTTTCGGTCATATTTAATAATATATGTTTACAAGAAAGACTGCTACCAAAATATATATATATATATATATATATATATATATATATATATATATATATATATATATATATATATATATATATATATATATATATATATATATATGCAGAATAACCACATATGAAAAATAGAAAATGCTTAACGCGTTTTCGGCTAATTCGCCTTCATCAGAGCAAAGTAGAATGAAGATAAGTTTGCTGATCAGACCTTTATATCCGCCTGGGCAGATCACCTGACCACCAAAAATAAGTGGAGGAAAGGAATTATAAGAAAGAAGGTAACTGCAGAAGGCCTATTGGCCCATACAAGGCAGCTCCTTTTAATATCTCCAAGTGCCATACGTGTTTAAATGATTGCTATATTGCAATCACGTATTTAAACACGTATGGCACTTGGAGATATTAATAGGAGCTGCCTTGTATGGGCCAATAGGCCTTCTGCAGTTACCTTCTTTCTTATAATTCCTTTCCTCCACTTATTTTTGGTGGTCAGGTGATCTGCCCAGGCGGATATAAAGGTCTGATCAGCAAACTTATCTTCATTCTACTTTGCTCTGATGAAGGCGAATTAGCCGAAAACGCGTTAAGCATTTTCTATTTTTCATATGTGGTTATTCTGCATACTTGGATCAGTGTTTTTGTGATCATTGTTGCATATATATATATATATATATATATATATATATATATATATATATATATATATATATATATATATATATATATATATATATATATATATATATATATATATATATATATATATATATATATATATATATATATATGTATATATATCCATATATGTATATATAAATATATATATATATATATATATATATATATATATATATAAATATATATATATATATATATATATATATATATATATATATATATATATTGATATATATATATGTATATATATATATATATATATATATATATATATATATATATATATATATATATACACATACATGGATATATTAATGAATAGATTAATGGAGAGGTAGATACATATATGGATGATAGATGGGTTGATGGATGATAGATGGATAAACTGATGGGCAAAAGGATGAATAGATGGATAGATGGAGGGATATTTTGATAGATGAATAGATAGTTGGATAGGTAGGTAGATAGATGGACAGACATGTAGACAGATAGAAGACAGGGATATATATATATATATATATATATATATATATATATATATATATATATATATATATATATATATATATATATATATATATATATATATATATATATATATATATGTCGTACCTAGTAGCCAGAACGCACTTCTCAGCCTACTATGCAAGGCCCGATTTGCCCAATAAGCCAAGTTTTCATGAATTAATTGTTTTTTGACGACCTAACCTACCTAACCTAACCTAACCTAACTTTTTCGGCTACCTAACCTAACCTAACCTATCTTTATAGGTTAGGTTAGGTTAGGTAGGGTTGGTTAGGTTCGGTCATATATCTACGTTAATTTTAACTACAATAAAAAATAATTGACCTCATACATAATGAAATGGGTAGCTTTATCATTTCATAAGAAAACAATTAGAGAAAATATATTAATTCAGGAAAACTTGGCTTATTAGGCAAATTTGGCCTTGCATAGTAGGCTGACAAGTGCGTTCTGGCTACTAGGTACGACATATATATATATACATATATATATATATATATATATATATATATATATATATATATATATATATATATATATATATATATATATATATATATATATATATATATCCCTGTCTTCTATCTGTCTACATGTCTGTCCATCTATCTATCTATCTACCTACCTATCCAACTATCTATTCATCTATCTATCAAAATATCCCTCCATCTATCCATCTATTCATCCATTTGCCCATCTGTTTATCCATCTATCTATTCATCTATCATCCATCAACCCATCTATCATCCATATATGTATCTACCTCTCCATTAATCTATTCATTAATATATCCATCTATTGACCCATCCATGAATAGATCCATCAACAGATCATTCAATCAATTTATCCATCTATAGATCCATCCATCAATCCATCAATCCATCCATCAATTTGTCCTTCTATCTATCTATATGTCTATTTATTCCTCCATCGGTTTGTCAGTCTATCTATCTATATATTTATCTATCCATCCATCAATACATCCATCCATCTATCCACCTATCTACTCATCTGTCTATCTATCTATTGCTCAATCCATACATCTATCAATTTTTCCGTCCATCTATCCTCATCAATCCATCTATATATAAATCTATCTATCCACCAATCAATGTATTCATTCATCAATCTATAAATCCATCTATCATAGTTACACCCCTAACACAGTAAGAATAGTTACTCCACTAACACAGTAAGAATAGTTACACCACTAACAAAGTAAGAATAGTTACACCACTAACACAGTAAGAATAGTTACCCCACTAACACAGTAAGAATAGTTACTCCACTAACACAGTAAGAATAGTTATACCACTAACACAGTAAGAATAGTTACACCACTAACACAGTAAGAATAGTTACTCCACTAACACAGTAAGAATAGTTACCCCACTAACACAGTAACAATAGTTACACCCCTAACACAGTAAGAATAGTTACTCCACTAACACAGTAAGAATAGTTACACCACTAACACAGTAAGAATAGTTACTCCACTAACACAGTAAGAATAGTTACTCCACTAACACAGTAAGAATAGTTACACCACTAACACAATAAGAATAGTTACACCACTAACACAATAAGAATAGTTACTCCACTAACACAGTAAGAATAGTTACACCACTAACACAGTAAGAATAGTTACACCACTAACAAAGTAAGAATAGTTACACCACTAACACAGTAAGAATAGTTACACCACTAACACAGTAAGAATAGTTACACCACTAACACAGTAAGAATAGTTACACCACTAACACAGTAAGAATAGTTACACCACTAACACAGTAAGAATAGTTACACCCCTAACACAGTAAGAATAGTTACTCCACTAACACAGTAAGAATAGATACGCCACTAACACAGTAAGAATAGTTACACCACTAACACAGTAAGAATAGTTACACCACTAACAAAGTAAGAATAGTTACACCACTAACACAGTAAGAATAGTTACACCACTAACACAGTAAGAATAGTTACTCCACTAACACAGTAAGAATAGTTACACCACTAACACAGTAAGAATAGTTACACCACTAACACAGTAAGAATAGTTACTCCACTAACACAATAAGAATAGTTACACCACTAACACAGTAAGAATAGTTACCCCACTAACACAATAAGAATAGTTACACCACTAACACAGTAAGAATAGTTACACCCCTAACACAGTAAGAATAGTTACTCCACTAACACAGTAAGAATAGTTACACCACTAACACAGTAAGAATAGTTACACCACTAACACAGTAAGAATAGTTACCCCACTAACACAGTAAGAATAGTTACACCACTAACACAGTAAGAATAGTTACTCCACTAACACAGTAAGAATAGTTACTCCACTAACACAGTAAGAATAGTTACACCACTAACACAGTAAGAATAGTTACTCCACTAACACAGTAAGAATAGTTACACCACTAACACAGTAAGAATAGTTACACCACTAACACAGTAAGAATAGTTACTCCACTAACACAGTAAGAATAGTTACTCCACTAACACAGTAAGAATAGTTACACCCCTAACACAGTAAGAATAGTTACACCACTAACACAGTAAGAATAGTTACCCCACTAACAAAGTAAGAATAGGTACCCTAACTTAGATCGTCTCCATGCATGAGGCTTGAGAAACCTTTGAAGCTGTGGAAGAGTCGTTTGATTTATGGGAGTACGGCCAAACTATTCATAGAAGTTAATTTATGTTCACTTTCTCCAGATTAATGAATGATGGTCCGTGATGAGGGCAGGAGCGGCCTCAGCTGCTGAGGACGTGTTGGGGGCAGGAGCGGCCTCAGCTGCTGAGGACGTGTTGGGGGCAGGAGCGGCCTCAGCTCCTGGGGACGTGTTGGGGGCAGGAGCGACCTCAGCTCCTGGGGACGTGTTGGGGGCAGGAGCGACCTCAGCTCCTGGGGACGTGTTGGGGGCAGGAGCGGCCTCAGCTCCTGGGGACGTGATGGGGGCAGGAGCGACCTCAGCTCCTGGGGACGTGTTGGGGGCAGGAGCGGCCTCAGCTCCTGGGGACGTGTTGGGGGCAGGAGCGGCCTCAGCTCCTGGGGACGTGTTGGGGGCAGGAGCGGCCTCAGCTCCTGGGGACGTGTTGGGGGCAGGAGCGGCCTCAGCTCCTGGGGACGTGTTGGGGGCAGGAGCGACCTCAGCTGCTGAGGACGTGTTGGGGGCAGGAGCGGCCTCAGCTGCTGAGGGTGTGACAGGGGCAGGAGCGGCCTCAGCTACTGGGGAAATGTTGAGGCCATTAGCGACCTCAGCTGTTGAGGGCAGAAGCGACCTCAGCTGCAGAGGGCAGGAGCGACCTCAGCTGCTGAGGGCAAAAGTGACCTCAGCTGTTGAGGGCAGGAGCGACCTCAGCTGCTGAGGGCAGGAGCGACCTCAGCTGCTGAGGGCAGGAGCGACCTCAGCTGCTGAGGGCAGGAGCGACCTCAGCTGCTGAGGGCAGGAGCGACCTCAGCTGCTGAGGGCAGGAGTGACCTCAGCTGCTGAGGGCAGGAGCGACCTCAGCTGCTGAGGGCAGGAGCGACCTCAGCTGCTGAGGGCAGGAGCGACCTCAGCTGCTGAGGGTAGGAACGACCTCAGCTACTGAGGGCAGGAGCGCCGCTGCTCAATACACTCAGGAGAGGCACCTTTGATGTGCTGGTGTGTGGCTGCAGAAGCAGAGATATCGTCCCACCCAATATATACACCTGTATATTCTCCCGCTCGGTGTATGTGTTGGGTATTACTGAAAGATGACGTCCACTCAATACAGGCACCGGAGCCAGACTTGGGAATTTAACGTTGATCAACAAACTAGAATACTGTGGTGAAGTATAAGGGACATTTTGAAGCCCAGAGCGGCAGTCACCTCAGGTTTTCAATGACAATTCACGACTGGCGGTGCTTCATCGCGCCCTAAAGATATTACAAGGTAAACAACTTTACCATTTGTAGAGGTCTTGCACACCTGCGAATATTCAGTTGTTTCATTAGCATATCTGAGCACGACGTGTTTACCTGAGGGAGAATAATGGCGGAACTCTCAGTGGTTGAGGCCAGGAGGTGCGGGCTGCGGGAGCCTCTTGAATGTTTAACTCCATTAACTGAGGACATTGATAAATGCAACACCACCTTAGTGTCCCGCCTTCTGCACCATCGTCTTGACACATCTTGGCGTTCACTTTAGGGCTGGAGGATGGTTGGCAGGTGTCAGCAGTGTCAGCCACCACTCCCTGCCACCACACTGGTCACTGTTCAGACAGGTGTCAGCCACCACTCCCTGCCACCACACTGGTCACTGTTCAGACAGGTGTCAGCGGTGTCAGCCACCACTCCCAGCCACCACACTGGACACTGTTCAGACAGGTGTCAGCGGTGTCAGCCACCACTCCCAGCCACCACACTGGACACTGTTCAGACAGGTGTCAGCAGTGTCAGCCACCACTCCCTGCCACCACACTGGTCACTGTTCAGACAGGTGTCAGCCACCACTCCCTGCCACCACACTGGTCACTGTTCAGACAGGTGTCAGCCACCACTCCCTGCCACCACACTGGTCACTGTTCAGACAGGTGTCAGCAGTGTCAACCACCACTCTCAGCCACCACACTGGACACTGTTCAGACAGGTGTCAGCAGTGTCAGCCACCACTCCCTGCCACCACACTGGTCACTGTTCAGACAGGTGTCAGCCACCATTCCCTGCCACCACACTGGTCACTGTTCAGACAGGTGTCAGCCACCACTCCCAGCCACCACACTGGTCACTGTTCAGACAGGTGTCAGCAGTGTCAGCCACCACTCCCTTCCACCACACTGGTCACTGTTCAGACAGGTGTAAGCAGTGTCAGCCACCACTCCCAGCCACCACACTGGTCACTGTTCAGACAAGTGTCAGCCACCACTCCCTGCCACCACACTGGTCACTGTTCAGACAGGTGTCAGCAGTGTCAGCCACCACTCCCTGCCACCACACTGGTCACTGTTCAGACAGGTGTCAGCCACCACTCCCTGCCACCACACTGGTCACTGTTCAGACAGGTGTCAGCCACCACTCCCTGCCACCACACTGGTCACTGTTCAGACAGGTGTCAGCCACCACTCCCTGCCACCACACTGGTCACTGTTCAGACAGGTGTCAGCCACCACTCCCTGCCACCACACTGGTCACTGTTCAGACAGGTGTCAGCCACCACTCCCTGTCACCACACTGGTCACTGTTCAGACAGGTGTCAGCCACCACTCCCAGCCACCACACTGGTCACTGTTCAGACAGATGTCAGCAGTGTCAGCCACCAAACTGGTCACTGTTCAGACAGGTGTCAGCCACCACTCAAAGCAACCACACTGGTCACTGTTCAGACAGGTGTCAGCAGCGTCAGCCACCACTCCCAGCCACCACACTGGTCACTGTTCAGACAGGTGTCAGCAATGTCAGCCACCACTCCCTGCCACCACACTGGTCACTGTTCAGACAGGTGTCAGCCACCACTCCCTGCCACCACACTGGTCACTGTTCAGACAGGTGTCAGCCACCACTCCCAGCCACCACACTGGTC